TAAATAAGCCTCGAAAATAAAACGTAAGAAAGAGAAGGAATAAGAATTGAATATAAAAATGCCTGAGGTTGAAAAAAAAAAGAAAGGAAAAATTTACGACTCATACAAATGTGCTTTTTTTCGAGTTTGTGAATTGAAATTTCTTTCGATATTTGTTGTTACTGTACGTGTAACATAAACCATCAAATAAGGGTTCCGCAAAAAGCAAAAAAATAAATTGAAAACGAAAGAAGAAAGGAAAAAAAAGTTATTGAAGCTTCCTTTCACAAGATAATATTTCGATATTGTCACTATTGTTATAGTTATTCACTACCTGTGATCCAAAAATAAATTAAAGCTATGCGTGTGTCGCTCATATTGCGTCGTTGTATCCTCTTCCTTTCGATTAAGTTTGTTGATTGGGCCTCAGGTTGAGTTGTAAAGTTTTTATGAAAATTTATGGAAGTAAAAAATAAGTTGGACAAACATTTGGATAAGAATCTAGTATAGGATTTTTTTTTGTGTGGATAAAATATGAGACATTTTATAGGTTTATAGCTGTAAATTTTGTTCTATACAGTTTGTAATGAAGTCTAGAATTTTGACTTGAGTCAATGACTTCATACCACATAGTAGACATTTTTTAAACATATTCATACAGCAATAGCTGACACAAGGGATTGATATCGTCTCTTGCTTTATAATTAGGATCCTCAAGTTATATTTTAATGAATTAAACCTTTTAAGTCATGTCAGTAAGTCGCACAAAACTTTCTGAAGTATCTGGAACTCCTTCAATCAAAAGATGCTCTTTAAAATAATCACAAAGACATCACTCTTTACTTTTGTGTGGCAAAACATCTTTGGGGTTATTTGGACAGACATTTCCGGTTATTTAATCAAGAATAAAATAGGAAACGAAAGTTGATAAATAAATTTTATCTGGAAAAATTTCTTCTCACAAAACTTAAGATAAGCATACGTTGGAGCTTTAAAAGCATTTTTGTAGAGCTTCCAAAATTATTTGTTTTTGTCTCTGCTTTGCTACAAGTTTTAAATCATCAACCCCATCCTTCTTTTTTTAATGAGAGTAAATTTACCGCATGCGGTAATAGGAACATTATGTCATGAGTTCTTTAATGCAAAAAAAGGAGGAGGGAAAGTAAAAAGAGCACAAAACATGACATAACATAATTATGAAATTTATTTGCCTCTGTGATTAATGAATTTTCACATTTTAATATTTCGTAACAACTTTTTTCTCTGTGTCTCAAATCTCGTGACATTTGTCGTCGACTGTTATGTACAACATTACATTCACTTACATAATATTCAAATATGGGAATATTAACTTTAAATTAAGGAGGGTAAAAGCGACAGAAATTTTTCTTGTTAAGCACAAAAAAATATTTCTGGCTTCATTTTCTTCGTGAACTTTCAAAGCTCCCACTTCACATTCCGTTCAAGGTTAAAGCACAAAAAAAATTCTTCAATTCCATAATGAACTTGACGGTTGATTGCCACGAAACAGGCAGGGATGGAAAGGATTTTTAAGATTGTTCCCTACTGATATCAAATTCCATTAGAGAAATGAATTAACATCTAGAGCTTTTTTCGAAGGCTGCTATAACATGACAATTGAGTCATTTTTCTTCCTATTCTTCACATTTTTTTTTGAACACTCACGCAATGCTTAAACATGCCACTCAACATTCACATACACAATTACATATTTTATGATTTTTTATTCTTGATTTTCGCAGAAATCATATAAATTAAATCACATAAATTTCCATTTCGACATATTCGCGTATGATTGCTGAAAATATTCCCATTCATTTATATATTTTTACATTTCGGCATACTTTTTACTTTTTTGAGCTTAATTTTCGGGAGTATTTAATATCTTGGGTCTTGTGTCGTCATTTTGGATTTGATTTTGGAAATTTAGGACTAGACAAAGTCGAGGCTAGTTGAAATAATGCTTTATTGTGATTCTGACTAAAACACAGAGTAAGAAATTGAAGTTCCTTCAAATTTGACAGGTTTTATGCTGGCAATCCTATTTAATTACGTCTATCCAACTTGTTCTCTAATTAATCACAATAAAACCACTAAAATTCAACATGAAATTTCAAAATTTTCCTCCAAGAATGCGCCGCATCCTCATCACATCCAAATCACACATTATATCCACGTCACTTAACTTAATTTTCATCAGCAGAAAAGAATTCATTCATTCAATTGTAAATGAATAAGAAGCTAATGAATAATTCATGACAGTTGGCTGAATAATGTGAAATAAAAAAGGTGAGTTCAGCTCATGTCAGGGACGAAAAGAAAACCTTCTTTAACAGGAAAAAGAGAGAATGAGAAAAATTTTAAGTAAAAGTGAATTGTTGACATGAAAGTCTTTGTTACTGTTAAAGGAATGAGAACCTCTGCTTTATGCATTATTTAACGAATTATACGTCGCTAAATCATGAATTATTTTTTCAAGCATTGAGACTACAAAAAAAAACCAAAACAATGTAGGCAAATGGGGAAAAGAGCGACGACGAAGAAATAAGGATAAATAAGAACGCAGGGAAAATGTAAATGAGCGCAATGAAATTTGTTTTCCTTCGTTGATGTTGTAAATGCCACGCAAAGTGAATTGTACAAAAAAAAAATCTTTTGGCATAAATATTTTAAGACAATAATAGAGCTCTGAAGCGCCCCTTCTCTGCCTCAGTTTCGTTTGATGCTCACTTCGTTGTCTCATCCTTTGTTGTCTTCCCTCGTGCTTTTCAAAGCATCTTTTGATAACGCGATTCCTTTATATCAAGACGTTCTGTAATGTTTATCGAAAAAATGACATTTTCTTGTCTTGAAATAAATTTCTTCTCAGTTGATAACATAATTGAATTAATTTTACCCCGTTGAATATTTAAATTTATTGGATATAAACTTTCTTTTTTGCTGAATAATTTTCTTAGGATATGACAATGAGAAGCTTTAAGAGAGTTTGAAGATTTGGCTAGATGGAGAAAAATTTGTGATTGGTTTATTCATGATTTTGATTAAAATATTTGTGGATTATTGGGGATTTTATTCTGGTTCATTGGATTTTAAATTATATTTTGATTTTCTGTCATTTTCATTGAAGCTTAAAATTGATTAAGATTGGAAATTTATTTAATATTCTTCTGTGAACTCTGATTCAGCGGGATCAATGAGTCTAAACTTAAAGAATCTCTGTCAGTCAATTAACTGTTTATTAAAAACTTTATAAAGATAAACAAAATACAGTAAAATGGGCAGAAAATTGTGCTAAATTAAGCAAAAAAAAATGTTTGTTTTTCACAGAAACTCCCTCTCCACAAAACAACAAAAACATATTTGATTAGCTGCGAAAACGAAATTTCGTTCAAGGTTCAACTTATTCTACCATCGAAAAAATTAGCAATATTAGAGAACGCGAAATAAAGAGAGAAAAGGAAAATGCCAAGAGTCATGACAATACCAATGCTTTTTTCCGGTTGTTGTATGAAAAACGCAAATTATGCCTCTTGCCTTGAACAAAAACATTGCGATGAAAGGTTCCATCCATAAATAATTGTGATCTAATTTTAGTTTATCGGAAGGAAAAAAAATGAAAATGAATAAAAAAGTATTTTTTTGCGTGAGATTTTCATATTTTGTCAAGCAGAAAATTGAAATTTATGCTGTCTCGACATCGAATGGCGTTCTTATGAAAATCTAGGTGAATTTCATTATTTTTTTTTCATGGCAAAGAAAGTTTTTGATTAAAATAATGTCCAGATCTATCAATACCGATTGCTTGACATCGATTATCTATTGAAATTTTTCCTGTTTTTCTTTCATTTTCTTTTACATCCACTCAAATAAATTTCCTATCGACAAAGTAAAGGTACTTTAACTCTTTTTAATTAATTCCAATTTTTTTTCTCTTTCTGTTAACAAAAATAAATGAAAAGCAAAGTTTCTTTGCCTTTTGTGCGGTGGAGCTGAGTTCTTCTGACTTTTTCTTTCTCTTTTCTCGAGAAATTTTTCTCACAGGAAAAAAAATTGATTAGAAAATGAAAAATAAGGACACAGAAAGTTTCTCGTTCTAATTTCTAACAGAAAATTCTCTTAGTGGACAAGAAAAAATAAAAAAGTACCCTTCTTTCCGTCTTCGCACAACTTTTTAATATCAATTTTACTTTATTTATACAAGACTTGGTATTAGGAAGAGGAATTAGTTTGGAAGTCTAAATGGATTGCTTGCGGGTGATGATGAAGCGCATACGTGTTTGGGAAAAGAATAATCTTTAGATTATGTAGTCAGTAGCTTTTAAATGTAAGCTACAAACTTCATTCTCAGGACATACGGGTTGAAAACTGCATACTTGATCTTGAGTCAGCGTCTTTTTAGAAGTTTTTAACAAATTAAGTTAATTCATTAGCACATCTGCCTTAAAAATGCTTCCTCATTGAAAAATTCTACAAGCCATTGAGCCAAAATGACCAGTCAATGACACCATCATGAGAACAACCAAGTGCTAAGTAAAAGTGTCATCCAAAAGAAACCAAAAACAGAAATGAAAAGGGACGAACATTGGAATTTTCTGCTCCTCTCATCTTCTCCATCACATGAAATGTAACTCCTTGTAATTTCTTCGGAAAAAATAATACGTGACTGCAATAATAAAATAGCAGTTCCAATGACTATGCCTTCAAGTATTTCATTTGATATTTTTACTCCCAAAATGAAACTTTTCTTGCTCGACAACCGTGACTATCAAAAGAAGTGAGCAACAAAAATTACTGCAGCATCATAAAAGTTGTGAGAATCACGTTTTCTGTTGGAAACAGCAGGGAATAGATAGAAAAATCTCTGCGAATTGAAAATTAACAAGCAATTAATGCTTGCAAATAAAAAAAAGTCTGACGCGTGAGGTGCAAGATTATTTGGCAAGAAAAAGGTACGGGGAACATTTCAGAAACAATTTGGCATCAAAATTGAGATATTTTATGAGCTTCATCACTCTTAATTTGCAATTCAAATTTATTTTCTTTTAATTTTATAAATATTTTTATTAAACAAAAATATTCACAAAAAAACTTTATGCATGTATAATTTATTGATGACATCTCTCATCTAGCTGTTGATCAAATGAGAATTAAACATTTCAAGTTTGTCGAAGCATTATCAAAGCGATTGATATATGCTTATGGAGAAATGAATGGAACTATTGGCTTTGGGTAGTCGTAGCCCCCACATTTTTCACATTCTGGACATTTAGGTGGTCTGTAGAGAATATCAATAATTTTTGGTTTCTTGATTAACTTCATACAAATTAATTTATTAAGATTCTTACGGTATAGTTGGTGGAGGAGGTGGACATGTCACTTGTCTATTTGAAAAATATAAATTCATATTTATTTTTAAGGAACTAGTCAGACTGTACTTACGGTGGACATTTAGGAGGGCTATAAAAAATTAAGTTATTAATATTTGTAAATCTTATATTTTTATTTATACTCACGTTGGAGGTGCTGGGCATGTCACTGGTCTTTTGTTGCAATAATAATAAAATTTTAATTTGAATCTGCTAATTTTAAAATATTATTTTGACTTACGGTGGAGGTGTTGGACAAACTTTTGGTCTATAAAATGATTTATGAATTAAACATTAATTTAAAAATCCTAATTTTATGATTTTTTACTTACGGAGGAGGTGGGGGGCATGTTACAGGTCTGAAAAATACTAATCTTTGAAAATTCTTGTCAAATTTTTATTATGTATACATACGGTGGACATGTTACAGGTCTATAAAATAAAAATTTATTGGTTGGTTTATTTAAACTTAATTTTTTTCTGGCAATTTGAACTTACGGTGGTGGTGTAGGACATACTTTTGGTCTGAAAAATATTATAATTTTTGAATTCAATAAAACGTTTAATTTTAAAATAAATAACTTACGGTGGAGGTGGTGGACATGTCACGGGGCTGTAAAATTTTCAAATTTTCAAAAACTTTTTTTTTCATATGATTTAATTTGACTTACGGAGGTGGTTTTGGACATATGACAGGTCTATAAAGTTATTAAATTATAAATGTTATTGCAATATTTGAAATCAATATGAATAAAATGATTTTTGTTGAATTAAAATCTACAGACTTTTAAGCTGTAATTAGAATTTCAACATGCGGGATTGAAAACCTTAAGCCGCAGTAATGAGCAAATCCTTAAAAAAATTTACTTATTCAAAGAATTAAACAGCAAAAATATTAAAATGAATCAATTTAGTGGAAAAAAAAACAACCAAGCTTTAACTTACGGTGGTGGTGTTGGGCATATGATTGGTCTGAAAATTATAATTTTATTCAATTATTAACAATCGTTAATATTAATTTAAACAAATTATTAAACTTACGGTGGTGGTGGTGGGCACGTTACTGGTCTATAAAGTTTTTTTTTAAAAATTATTTAAATTTTATTTGACAATTTTAAACTTTTTTTCCTTACGGTGGAGGTGTTGGGCATACTTTCGGTCTATAAAATAATTTGTCACTATAATTAATTTTCTAATATTGTTTTATAATATTTGACTTACGGTGGAGGTGGAGGGCATGTTACAGGTCTGCAGAACATTGAAATTTTAGAAATTAAAACATATTCTCCAATAGTTCTTAATTAGTACTTACGGTGGACATGTTACTGGTCTATAATAATAAGATTTGAATTTGTATTTTAAATTGTTTATTTTTTTATTCAATTTTGTACTTACGGAGGCAGTGTTGGGCAAATTTTTGGTCTACATTGTTAAAAAAATATATTTTTAAATCAATGATATTCAATTTGATTCTTTGGATTTAAATTTTTTCACACTTACGGAGGAGGAGGAGGACAACTAGAAAGATATAAATTTTCAAATTATATTGCTTATATGTAATTTGAACTATTTTAAACTCACGTTTTACATGTAACTTGAGGTGGTGTTGGGCATACTTTTGGTCTGTAAAATTTAATATTTATAATAATTCTTTAAATATTAAAGCTTTTATTACTTACGGTGGGGGTGGTGGGCACGTTACTTGCCTTAAAATAAATTATTAAATTTGATTGATTAAATTTTAAGGATTTTAAAATTTATATTTCATAATTTCTCTTACTCTGGACAATCGGGTGGTAAATATGTTGATGGAATAAATGGTGCAACTGTCGTTGGGCATGGTGGAGGGGTTGGACAATCCAATGTTGGCAAATAAGTGCTAGTTTTTTTAATTTTAATTCACATTATTTTATTATTTATTTTTGGTTTCTTTTTTGAAACGCACTTTTTGCTGTCTTAATGTTTGATTTTTCCACAAATTAAGTGGATTACGTGATGCAGAGTATCAATCAAGATCTTCCTGAAGAAAGAAGTTTAAAAACTTCTTAAATAAATCAAAAAATCGACACAATCCACTCAATTTGTAGAAAATAAATCTTAAGACAGCAAAATTATATTATTTTATAATTCTTTAAAACATCACAAATCACTCACTTTGATGGAGGAGGAATTAATGCATTTGTCAATTGCAAAGCAATTGATAAAATTATCAAAAATTTCTTAAAATAAAAAAAAAAGGTTTTATTAAAAATATTTCACTAATTTAAAATCAATTTCTAACCATTCTATAAAATATCAAATTTTCCGCCGAAATTTGATTTTAACTTCTAAAATCACTGTTCGAATGAAAACTGTGAAATGGATTTTTTTATAAGTTTGTCTCGTCTTTTATAACAACGGCGACAAGTAAAAACTAAATTTTCTCCAATATGCATGCTTTATTCTTAATCCCCACTCTATTTATTTAGCAATTCTTCGATAATACATTATCAAGTTTGCGAAAAGTGATCAATACCAGAATAACTTTTTAGTGTTTATTATCTTTACAGAGATGTGCTTTATTCGCACACTTTGTCAATAAAAACTAGAGCATTTTTGAAATTTTAAAAAAAATTTAAAGTATTTGTAGACTTAGGAACAGTTTTGATTCTGAAATTCGGGAAAAAAGGACGAGTTCTTGAGCCAGAGATGGCGATTGATAAGTTTGAAAAGTGCCTTTAGTATCTCAAGGAGACACGACCAGTCTTTTATTAACAATGCTGCGTTGTCCATGGTCAAGCTTACACTTAAATATTTTTTCTATGACTAGTTTATCAAAAAATGTCTTAATTCAGTTGTTATTTACTTAAAAAATTATCGAAAAATCTTCAATTGTGTAAAATTTACTCAGCAAATTGAACCAAATAGTTTCGTCCATCAATAGCATTGTATTCAAACACCTGGGACATAACTCTGCTTTTATTGTAATAAAAATTCTATAAATTTCTCATTACCATTTCCGATTCCCGTGCTTCAAGAATGTTATCATAATAAAATCTAGTTTATTTCCATAAATTAAGCAACGCAATCAAATTATATAATCTGGATTGTTGATGCCAATCATATCGATGGCATTCCAGCTTTTAAGATGAAACTGTTAACTAAAATACAAATTAAATCGACACGACTCGTGGTCATAAAATAAACTAAAATCGCTAATATTAAAAATTGCAGCGTTTCCAATTTGCCTAATTTAGAAACCTGTGCAATATTCAATGTCATGATCACAGACGGTTTTGTATGGTGAAATATAAAGAAGATTTTATATCGAACATCAGCGAGACAAAAACACGCGACCACTGATCTGTGGTGCTATATTTACTTAATATATGCTAATTTGCAAAAAAAGATCTTTCTTATTTTCTAAACTCAATAAATATTCCTGGAATATATGTCAGTTATGTAAGAGAAATTCACACACGTGAGAATTGAAATCGTAAACTTGACTTTTTATTGCTAACTGTTTTGGCTTCTTAAGTATTTTTTGAAATGGTAAAATGATAATAAAATTTTAAATTTGAGGATTAATATGGATGTTTTAGTAGGGGTATGCTTAAGCGGGAATACCACTGGGTTCTACTGATATCTGTGCAGTAGTCTCATTCGGGACCTGAAAAATGTGAATCTTCCGGACGTAAATGACCCACTACATTGATAACATCCCACTCATCTTTCAAATGCTAAACATTTGATGGACAATTTAATCTCAATTCTGTTGGTGATGCTATAACAAAACTAAGTCGATTCTATTTTTGAAACAAACGATATTTCGAACATTTTTCCTTTAAGATCGTTCTTGTTTCTGTTCAAGTTCTTCCCAAAAAAAAAAAATAAAATAAACGGGAATGAGAATTTTTAATGATCCCGTTTATAATGACAATTAATATTTGCAAAACTTGCGTCTGTAGGATATAAACGAGACGAAAGAAATTAATTCCCAATCATTAATAATGGATTTTCAGGTTTTTAAGAACTTCGATGAAGTGCATTTATTTCTCGAGCTAACGGATGACACTAACAACAGAACTTCGCGGATGAATGTCTACAGAATTTTATTGTATATTAATTTATTTTATTTTTTATTAACAGTTGAAGGTTGGATTTGATTTACTAACTTTGATTAAAAGATTAAATTTATTTTTATTTTCAACCCAGTGAGGAAAATTTGTGGGAATCAAAAATTATCTAAATGCACCAGATATGCTCATTATTTTGAAATGATTCATTTTTCATCCAATCTTTATATTCACATTATATCCTGCTTTCAAGACCACTTCCATAATAAATTCAAACATATTTTAGCTCTCAGTGGAATGAAGAAAGCAAATAAGTATAAAGCAAAAAATTTTCTTACTTCCATCAAATTGCCATAACATGGCTAAAATTTCGTATTCATATCCAGTTTCATCTTAGTACAATTCGTTATCTCTTTTCCTCTTCCTTTTCCTCTTTTTCTTGAATCTTTCATGCTTTCTGCTCTCTTATTTAGATGAAATAAAATATCGTCTTCTTTATCTGGCAAAACCTCAATAAATTGTGTCGTTGAAGTAGAAATTTTCTCTCCATGTATGATTTCTCTTTTGCTTGTTCTTGCTTCAATTTTGAAAATGTCTTGAAATTAAGGATGGAAATTCATTTCTTGTGCTAGGGAAGGTGGATTGGAATGTCGTGCACCTGCTGTAGGATCAAGTGTACAATGACAATCAATGTTATCCGTTGGTAAAGGTATTGCTGGTAGGTTTGAGTGAATAGGTTCTTTTAAGTAGTCTTCAAATGGATCGTCATATCATTTCAACACTGACTCAATGATTATTTTTACCTACATAAGCCTCATTGTTACTCGTTTCCCAATAAAACATAAGCTTCTTATCCCAGCAATAATTCATCGACAACTTGATTTCTTCTTTCAACTCTCATCATTATTTTCTAATAAAAATGATTCATTTTATTGAAATATTTCGTCAATAAATAAAATTTGAGAATATAAAATTTTCTAGCTTTTCCCATCCCTAGCATGATAATCGAAACTTAAACAGCAGCACATGAAAAAAAAAGTAGAATAAGGAAATGAGGAAAATATAAAAATCGTTGTAGAGATTAAGAAGCAAAATAGCAAACAATCATTTGTTATCTTTTGAACGTGTTTAGTTGTCTTTCAATTATATTATTTGACAATAAATTCATGTGCTACATTTTCAATCCTCTTCGTTCTCTCGATTTTCTCGTTAATAGCCTATTTATATTCTCTATTGAATGAATAAAAGAAAATTTCCTTCGAATTTTATGCTTTTTTGAATTGCCAATGAGGAATTCTAGTGTATATGGATAGGCAGTTCTTTTGATAGTAATGTGAGGATTTGAATATTTATTGGAAGGATACGAAAAATCCTTAATTTGCAGTTTTTAATATAGAACTTTGATAACTTAAAGTAAGGCTTTGGTTGTTAAATTTGATTTTTTATGTCATGATTTTAAAATTCCCAAGAACGAAAAAACTTCATCATCGTCTCATAGACTACAAAAATATCAGTAACAACTTCCTCATGCACCTAAAATTGAACTTTTCTAAAGAAAAACTTTTCAAATATTTGCTTAAAGAACAACAAGAAAAATGTCTGTTGATCCGGATAACCTCGATAAAAAAATGGAGACATCTTTGCTTAAAAGTCTCGAAATATAAAAAGATAGGAGTAAGAAAAATATATTATAAATCATGTGGCAGTCGGTCGAGGCCGAAAGAGGAAAAAGTTTTTTGTTTCTTCCTTCCTCGTCGTCCTCTAAAGTAGCAATGATTCAAGACTTAGAAGTAGAAAATTTTCTCAATTTATCTTTTCATTGTTTTTCTGCAGAGCTTTGGCACAAGAAGCTCATCAATAATAAAGTTATTTTATCGTATTTATCCTTTCCTTTAAGATATTTTCCCATATCTCAGATTGTTTGCTTTTTTTTTTACTTCCTGTAAAGAGTTCATTGTAATAGATTTCAAACGCTTCAAGCTACAATTTATCCAATCCCAACTGTGTCCTTGGATTGTCACTTTATACTTTCTAAATACAATAAAGATTTATGAGTTTTGATAGAGCTACAATTTTATTGAAAATGTCTAATCCATGGGAATTCTTGTGATGTAGGTGCAATTTGTTATGTACTTAGCCTTTTGTCATCGTGGATGTTTTATTATGTGTGTCAATGGCAAAATAAAGGTGGAGTTTTTAGTTCTATGTTGTTATCTATATGCTGGTCGATGAAATTACAGAAATCGAGACTGTTTTGGTTGAAAATGTCAAGGATTTTTACTGATGACTGTTTTTTTTTGATGAATGAATGTGAATTCTGTCCCGATTGATGCCATAAAAACCTTTAATCACACCAGTGCTTCAAAATGTCTTTTGGTTTCAAATTAAAGATTCAAGGTAAAAACCTACTTGATTGTATTCTTCAAACATCCTTTTTTCATCCTAAACTCTACGCCTGAGTAGAAATGGCGTATGAAAAGTGATCTAAGAGAAAATTAATCTCATGAGGCATTTAAGAAATTCCAACATAAAGGAAGTAATTTCTTTTTATTTAAAAGATGAAAAATTACTGAAATTTCGTTTTGCAAAAATTAATGAGAATTCCTACTTTCCCCACGCTGAGAATACAAAAAGTGCAAATATCTACCTGTCAACATGTAGGTGTGTATCCGTTTACTCATTTTTCATATAATTTGTTGTGCTGATATTTACTATGAAGCAAAGGTAAAAGATTAAAAACTAAGTCGTAATTTTTGTGGGCGTTTTTTTGCGTAAATTTCTGATTTTTCGAAAGGTTATTTTGCGAATTTACTCATATTTAATGGGATGGAAATTCAAAGTCAAAGGTTCTATAGGTGTGACGTAAAGTTCTGAAGAAATTGATATTTTTTTGAAGTTGAATCTAAATAAGTCTCAATCTTGTATCAATTCCTACTCCAAACAAGTGACTTGACTTTATTAATGATCAAATTTCTTAAAATAAATATATAACAAAATGTGCAATTCATCAATCCAATCGAGACTAGTGAATTAAAAAAATTATAATCATAATTGAGGGGCTAAGGCGCTCCTTATTGATTAAATTTCCTCTCACATATTCACTCAGAAATTCACTTCCGTATCCATTTCTTAAATGCGTTGAAAAAAAAATCTTAAAGACGAAAATTCAATCAACCATGTTGAACAGCAACAATCAATCTTTTTCCTTAGCGTAAATATATATTTATTGTTATTATTACTGTTGTTAAGAATATAAATAATTTTATCAAGGACGACGATGATGTTTCGATGTTCATTCAACCATATTTTTCACATTTATTTTTTTCTATGTTATGCTTTCATTCATTCTTCTCCTTTTCTATTCGACTAATGAGATTGAATAC